CTCACTCAGCTTTGGCGTCTGCCATTTATGTGGAGGTATGGTTGTAATATTTGCATTAATATTTCACATTATAATTCATTAAAAAAGAAAAATAAACGTCGATTATGGGCGGCATGCGGTGGTATGCGCCTTTTAGTGAGACCCTAAAAAAACTATGAAAATTCTATTAAAATTCTATAGAAAGTCTATGAAAATTTTATATAAAAAAAACCTTAAAAAACTATAGAAAATCTATAAACAATTTTATAAAAACCACTTATAAATCTATAAACATTTTATAGAAAAAAAACCTATAAAAATACATTAAATATGCGAATAGAAATTCAATACAATTACTGTATATAGAAAGTGTATATATAAATTGAACAATTTTATATAGACAATCTGTGTATTCTTTTTAAAAAAAAATGTTGGTGTTGTGTGTTTTTGGACAATTCAACTGCTCTTCAACTTTAACTGGCCCCCAATTCCAATTGGTTTGCAATGGTCCCAGTTCCAATTGGTAAAAATGGCTTTAATAAACTTCTGCAGACTTACAAAATACATTATGAGTTCATATACAAACCATAATTTCTTTAATTTAAAACACCAACAAACATCATACGGTAGGGACTTTAATTCCCTAGGGTCTCATTTACTAGCATACCCCTTCATATATTATCATTTTGCTAATGTCTTACTGCTAAACATACTGTACCTCAAGTTCAAGGCTATTCTACATAGTTCTTTGCTTTTACAGTCCGGTTTAAATAAGCATTTTTTTCGTAATGTTGTCCTACTACAAGAGTTTATTATGTAAAACAATATTCAAGAACCATTTGTGTTACAGGTGTTCATAAACCAGCATTCTTTGTGATATTGCAGCAGCAACTGTCCATTACCATGCCTTTTCTTGTCCGATGGTACCAAGCTAAATTAGTATGAATTATGCCGTTGAACGAATCTAGTTTGAAATACTAAATCACTGTGACTTGTACTAACATTTCTCGGAGTTTCACTCTTGCTGAAAGATATAACAAAACAAAATAGAGCGCATATTATAGAAACCGCTATTAAATGTATTACATCCCTTTATTATTGTATTAAAATAGGAGTAATATACATATATGTAGCTAATGACAGACTAGCAGTTACTTCTTTTTTAAACAAAAGAAAATTATTATTTTTTTTTTTTAGTTTTCAAAACAGCTTAGCCTACACTACAATTCCAATATCCCTTAAGGCCTATATAGGCCTAATATATACACATTAAATTTGATCAAACTCTATCGTGTAAACGACATCATCATGTATAGCATGTTGTTAATAATTAATAGTACAGGACAGTAAAAATAAAACGTCAACAAAACATTATATTCACCTTTAGTAAGTCAGGTAATTTTCTGGCCTTCACAGATACGTCTTCAAACAAACATTAATGCTTTCCTACTAAAATGATTGAGTTGACTGGATTGAGTTTTCACTTACAGTAGTTACCGAGACTAATGACAGACTAGCAGTTACTTCTTTTTTAAACAAAAGAAAATTATTATTTTTTTTTTTTAGTTTTCAAAACAGCTTAGCCTACACTACAATTCCAATATCCCTTAAGGCCTATATAGGCCTAATATATACACATTAAATTTGATTAAACTCTATCGTGTAAACGACATCATCATGTATAGCATTTTGTTAATAATTAATAGTACAGGACAGTAAAAATAAAACGTCAACAAAACATTATATTCACCTTTAGTAAGTCAGGTAATTTTCTGGCCTTCACAGATACGTCTTCAAACAAACATTAATGCTTTCCTACTAAAATGATTGAGTTGACTGGATTGAGTTTTCACTTACAGTAGTTACCGAGACTTGAGTATCCTGAAATAAAATCACCATTTATGTTGTTAGTATAGGCCTTTTGATTACATTAACTTTCCCAAATAATAACAATTCTTTACAATTCTTTACACCCCAAACCCACTCGGTTAACCGTAAACCGATTATTTTATTAAAGCATAGAATGTTAGGTAATTTTCTGTTCCTTCACAGATACGTCTTTAAACAAACATTAATGCTTTCCTACTACAAGATTGAGTATGACCGGATTGAGTTTTCACTTAATTACACTTACAGTAGTAATAGACTTGAGTATCCTGAAATAAAATCACCATTTATGTTAGTATAGGCCTAGAGATTACATGGACTTTCTGCAAATAATGATACTAATAATAATAATGATAATTCTTTACACCACGTCCACCCCGGTTAACCCTAAACCCATTATTTTATTAAAGCATCATGGACATTAGTGAGGACACGGCCCAAATTCAATTTACCACTCTTCTTATGGCATGCTTCTTATGGGGCAATTAACTTACAGCTTAGCTAGGCCAACAAAAGGCCCAGGTTCTAGGCCTAGCCCTATATCCTCAATGGCCTAGAGAGAACAGAGAACCTCTGTCTGTCTCCGTACGGCGGCTAGGCTAGTACCGGTACAGCTACTGTAGGCCTTAGGCTAGGCCAGGCCTCCTCATTCAAGCCTTCATCTTCCACTACTACTAGGCCTAGGAGGAGGCTAGCGTGTCTGCTAGAGTAGTAAACTAAATAATAAAACAAAACCAACTCTTACCACTTGATAGTGAATACAGTACTGCTAAAATACTTCCAAGGAGTATGTTTATAACTGCCTAGCATCATGAAAGTCCAGAGAGAAATTCAAAATACTACCGCTTCCGTTGGCTCCACATGAAGTGACAATTCAAATCAGCTGATGCTCACTTGATGAAGTGACAAGTGACCAATCAGATTTGTGCAATTCGACACTAACATTAATTATATGGTTGGTAGGTGGGCTATCACAGTAAACAGGTTAGGCTGTTGATAACATTTTTCTGTTAACCCTAAAGCATTGTTGTTAAGTGAATAGGTGAGGGATAAGTTTTGTTACTACAGACCCGCTCCCCCCCCCCCATAAAGTTCCCATAAGGCTACCAATGTATTAGCGGTTCCAGAATTTTTTCATATAGTTTGAATAGATTTTATATATACATTCTATACATAATTCTATACATAATTTTTTTTATAGATATAATTTTAAAAATAATTTTTAATATTTCATTTACAGATAATCACATCCATAGCGTTCGTATTCATTTTATATATACTTTCTATAAAGAAACAATTTTACAAATTATAAACGTTTCCATAGAGTTTTTATATATATTTTATATATATTTTCTATAGACTATTAAAAGTTACAGTTTTTAAAATAACTTTAGAATATTATACAGTTCTACAGAATATACTATAAATAAATAAATTGATATTGAAATTTCATATATGTTATACTCTATATAGATTTTATATCTCTATAGAGATAATCCCTATAAAATTGTTATAATACATTTAAAAAAAAATACAGGTAAGGACTATAATTTTTTATAGAATAAATATAGAAATTTTATAGTTTTATTATAGAGAACTTGTCATATCATTTGTATAGAATATTCTATAGAATTTCTATAGAATATGCAAGATGTAGGACTATACTGGTCAGACACGAATGTGTCAATAAAATATTGAATGAAACAAAAAAAAATTAAAAACATAGAAATTACATTAAATATGTGTATATAGTATGTTATAGAATTCTATAGAAACTAGTTCCTCTATAAAACAATTTTATAGAAAATACTAATTTCTGTAGAAATTGATTAGTCTCTATAGAAGGTCTATAAAGTCCTATAGAATTTTTATGTATGGGTATGAACCCTAAGAAGTAAGCTGAACACTGGAATGAGATTATGAATGTGGATGATGAGATACTCTAGAGAAAACCATTTGCTTCAGTGATGGACTGTGAATCTCATTTCCTGCGACTTTCCGAGTTGCACCGTATTGTTTCAAAGCATTCAAGCAAAGACATGTATAACCTTCCAAATTCGAACAATGTCGTTCGACCTAACGGGTTTCACAAAGTAATTTATCTTTTTATCTTGGATTTGATAATTCTAAAAGAGGTCCAGGATATTGGAAATATAATAATAACTTATTAGTCAATACTGATTATCAAAGTGCTATTAGAAAAGTTATTATTAAAACTCAAAACAATGAAAAAACTCTCGGCCCAGATTTACTTTGGGAATTATTAAAAGTCAGAGTTAGGGACCTTTCTATTTTTTATGGGGAAAAAAATAAATAAAAAGAAAAACAAAGAAAAAATGAAACTACACAACCAAATAAAACAGCTAATTGATTCACTTGTAAACAATGTTAGTAATTCTAATGAAAGCATTGAGGAAGAAATTGAAGAAAAAACAAAAATACTGGAAAATATTTATGAGAATGAAACAAAAGGTGCATACATACGTGCAAGATTAAAATGGATGGATGAAGGCGAACGTAGCACTAAATACTTTCTCAGTTTAGAAAAAAATAACGGAATGAAAAATACATATCAAAAGTATAAAAAAAACTCAGATAGTGCTGTGTTAACAGACATAAATAAAATTCTATAAACATCTATATACAAATAAGGGGATATCCCTTAAGGAAATCAACACCTACTTAGATAAAATAAAAGTAAACAGTTTATCTGAGGAAGAAAAGGGTGTATGTGAAGGCATCGTGACTTATAGAAGAATGTGATGAAGCCATACGAAAAATGAAGTTAAATAAAACTTCAGGATGTGACGGTCTTACCGTTGAGTTTTATATTTATTTTTGGAAAGAAAATAAACAAATTGTTTGTAATGCAATTAACGAGTGTTATTTTAAAAATGAAATGAACCATACACAGAAAAGGGGTGTAAATTTATTATTCAAAAAGGGGGATAAACAATTATTATAAAATTGGCGTCCTATCACATTACTAAACACGGATTACAAGATTTTAACACAAATTTATGTTCAAAACATCATAAAGTAATTGAAAGTGTTATTAACAATGACCAAAAAGGATACCGTACATTAAAGGGCGCTTTGCTGGGGAAAGTGTTCGGCTAATTGATGTTCTTCGTTATACGGCAGAAAAGGAAATGGAAGGTGCTTTTCTATCCCTTGATTTTAGAAAAGCCTTCGACTCTGTGAGTAGGGAATTTGGGAAGGTATTAGAAAAATTTAATTTTGGAGACTCTTCATAAATGGATTAATACAACTTATAATAAGACAGAGTGTGTCATTGTTAATAATGGATGGGTATCTGAAAGTTTTGAAATGAGAAGTGGCATTAGACAGGGTTGCCCATTGTCGGCGTTGTTATTTATTCTGGTCGTCGAAATCATGGCGTGTGATATAAGCAATAGTGCACACTTTAAAGGAATATCAATACCTAGTCAAGGAAAATATGAGGAAGTGCGTATTGCACAACTTGCAGATGACACTGTACTGTTTGTTGGAAATGAAAAGAGTATTGAGAATGGTCTAAATATTGTTGGTAATTTTGGTCAAGTATCTGGAATGAGTCTAAACAAATAGCCTGGTTGTAAAACTGCTGAAATGAATTTTAGCGGGAAAAAAGTAAAGGAAAATTAATTTTTGGTTTTTCTGAATCAACACACCCTATAGTGTCTCAGAAAAAAAAAATCCCCATGCCTAGGGCTTGGGCAATTTTTTTTACAGCACTTTGAAATTTTTGGACTAAAATACCCTATTTTAAACTATGGGGATAGGGGAAATAACTTTATGTTTTTGGTCACTTTTACATATACTGTGGATATGAAATGTATCAAAAACTTGGCTATATAGTTACTCATCACTCTCATTGAAAAATTTGATCGGAATGATGATGTCATCATGATAAATTCCAAGATGGCGTCCATTATAGTGGGAAAAACTATGTTTTTAATGTAAAAATAATTTTATTGTTATCAAAGTACAATACAATCTCAATACAATATTATACATACAGGAATAAA